CTAGCAGCCTCACACCGAGGACCTATCCACATCATCATTTACCCAGAATGCTTTGTGTGTAAATAAATTGGCTCTGTCCGTGTTAAAATATATTTTAAAAAAATGTACAAAACTAAACATCCTACAGTATTTTTACAGTCTTTATTTTACAGTTAAAATATGTTTATCAAATAAAGTCTAATGTTACAACTAATCATGGATCCCTTTAAGTACAAACCCGAATTATATACAGTAAACCACAGATTTCTGGCCTGGGCCATTCACTCAGAGTCTCTTTCTGTCTACAGAAACTGGAGCAAAATGGCCTCGAGCTATGTGTCACAAAGAGTTTTGTATCAAAGTCTAGTCATGCTCCTGAAAATGATATCACTGTAAATAAAGAGAAGTTCTCTCTCCTGTCAGGTGACCTGACTCTCAGACATCAGTTTCTGTAACGCAAGGATATGAAGAGCTTAGGTGTCTGTGTTGTTTGGTGCGAGGCGTGTATATGTGAAGTGCATTTAAAGACTCAAAAAAAAACAAAAAAAAAAAAACAATAAAATATCTTATGTCTCCAAAGTCCCAAAATAATCTGGGACTTTTTATTTTAGAATAATCTGAAGGGACAAAATGTTGATGTTTTGATTTATAAACTGTCTAACAGGAGTAAAGAGAGCCGATGTAGAAAAATGTGATGTTAAAGCTGTGCTTCATTAGAGTCACCATGTTAACCACGCACCTGTGTCCCTCCCTTCCTGACTGCAGTCACAATAAGGGGGGCAGACAGAAAGGCAGAGTAAAAAAATAAACCTAAAACAGACACTGCAAAAACTGCAAGTTGTATTAGGGAGGGGTTATTTTGCATTTTCCTGCCACTTATTTCAATTCTACACGACAATCAAGCATGTTACCTTCAGTAGTTATGAAAATGCTGTAAATAAAAAATGTTTTTTTTTTTTTTTTGGACTTAGCAGCAGTCTATCTAAATTAGAACTGGGTAACTAGGGAATATTGCTCATCTTGGAAATTCAGATAACCCAGAGATGTGTCGGTGCAGTCAGCCTCTATCATGCAGCTCTGTACTGTTCTAATGTCATATTAACGTACAGTATGCAGCCACTCAAAGGAAGCTTATGTAAAAGTAATCAGAGGTTTAAAATAAAGACTGCAGTGACAAATTCTTCCATTTCCCATCCAGCTGGATCTGATTAACCTCTGCCTTTTTAAGAACCTCCTACCGTTTCTCACACTCCCACTTCAGCACATCTTCACAACAATGCTTCAGGGGAGGGGTGCTCTGTGTGGGACGAGGGTTCAGCTGCAGACTGAGCTCCAGGGAGGAGCTTTGTGTAAAGAGGCAGAGCTTTGTACCAGCAAGTGTTTAGGCAGCCCCACATGGCTACCACAGGAGATTCAAGGATTTCTCAAACATGCATGAATGAGTCAAAGAAAAACAAAACGTCTGATTGTTTTAAAGGGATCCCCAATTAGTTGTAACATTAGACTTTATATGATAAACATATACTTTAACTGTAAAATAAAGACTGTAAAAATACTGTAGGATGTTCAATTTT